AGATTTTGTTTTGACATTGATAAGGTAGAGTTTCTACCACGAGGAAACCCACACAGTAAATAATGGGGAGAGAATGATCAGAAGAGCTGGGGTAGACCTGAGTGACACATGCTCATTACAAATGCCATATTTATCTCATGTATCTGATTACCCAGATCTGTAGATTGAACATAGAATCAAACTTCTTGAGGTGACTTGTAAAAGAATTCTAGTAGAGAAATATTCCATGAATCTGAAACTCTCTCATACACAGGGAATCAGCAAAAAGCAGAGAAAGTTGGGCTACAAGAATGGCCAGCAAGGGCTAGATCCCAGTATCTGACTGTGAATGTCAGAACAGGTCACACTATGCTGGGCCATAACACCAACCAGCACACAAGAGAACCAGGACTGGGGTAGATCCTGTAAGGGATACATGAGCCTAACCCTGTGGAAATACAAGGTTTAGGTGGGGAGGAGGTGAGCTAAGTGTAACCATGGAATCTGCCAATATTCATGGGCACTGGGGTTGGGAACAGGCTGGGCAGATAAAGGCTATAGCACCTGCATGCGCACCCTAAAACAGGGTATACTGTGGGCCAGGTTGCATTATCCACCAGCTCTTACAAAGGTTGGGGCAGAGAGGGCAGGCTGTTCCAGGTGGGGGCCTGGCACCTGCTGGCATGTGTGTGATCTAGGTCTGGGAGTAGCCAAGTGGGGGAAACTGGGCAACTCCCCATTAGGGTAATAGCTCCCTCTGGCGAACACATGATCCAGGCCTGGGTGTCGGGCAGGCTGAGCAAGGTAGTTCTATCCATCAGCAAGTATGTGGGCTGCTTTTGGAAGGGAGTGGACTTGGCAAGGCTGAGCAGACAGACCTTAACCCACTGGCAAGTGCAGAAACCAGGCTGGAGTGCATGCAGGTCATTCTGAGCTAGGCTACCATACCTGCTGGGTTGCAAGAGCCAGGGATGAGAGCAGATTGAGCCAGGCCAGGTTGCAGCACCTGCCAGGGATAGTTGGTATGGGGGCTGGCCAGGTCAAGCCAGGCTGTAGCATCCAAAGGTAAAGAGGCCAAGACAGGTGAGGGGCTATGCCAAGCTGGGTCAGAGCAACCACTGCCACGTGCAAGATCTGTGTTTGCGAACAGGACAAGTTGGGGAGCTAAGGAGATGCCCTGGCTGGGTTGAGGGTCCAGCTGGTGAGTGCAGGGCCAGAGTGGGGGCTGCTATCTGGTCTGGACATGGCTGTAGTGTCACTTCACACAAGTGTGGGCTGGGTCTGTGGTGTACCAGACTAGGCTAGACTCCAGCACCCATTGGAACTCATGAGAACTAGGATGGGTGTAGAATGGGCTGGGGTAGGTTTCTGTCCCTGCTGAGCCATGTGTGAGCTGTGTCTGGGTATGGACCAGACTTGGCTGGGGTTTAGTACCCAACAATAAGAACTGGAAAGGGTGAGGGTCAGTCAGGAAAGGCCACTGTTCCTGCTAGGATGGAAGGTCGATTAAGCAGGGCTGGCCCTGGACCCACCAGAGTGTGCAAGATCTGGCATTGGGAGAGGTTCTGACGGAAGAGCTTGGGAAACTTTGTCATGACATACTCCCTGCTGTGAGCACAAGAACCAAGACAGGGAGCAGTCCATACCAGGCCAGGTAATAGTACCCACCAACATACAATTTGGCTCAGGTCTAGGTTGAAGACTGGGGGCAAAATCATATCACTTGCTAGCAAATCTGAGAACCAAAATGGTATATGGATCAGGCTGGGTCAGGCTGCAATGCAAGCTAGTTTACATTAAGGTGGGGACTGGGGGCTGTCTGGGTTGAATTGGGCTAGGCTATAGCCCCCACTGACATGAGCTGGAACTGGGGATAACGCCAGGCAGGCCAGGCTACATCACTCACTGGCAAATGCCAAAGTGAGGCAGGCCATGTCAGACTGGACCACAACACCCAACCAGCACACGTGGGAACGAGGGAGGGAGGGGGCAAAGCCAGTAGAGCGACTGTGAGGGGCTCCCCTGCGGGACCACCACTCTCACTGGTGAGTGTGAGAGTTGGAATATGGGCAGACCAGGCCGGGCAGGGATACAACACCTGTTGGCCTGCATCTGAGCTGGATCAGGGAAAAATCAGTCTGGGTTGACTGTTCCTACTGGTGCAAGTGTAAGTCAGAGTGGGTGTGGGTTGGTTGGGCTTTGCCACAGTTTCAGCTGACAGATGCTGGCATGGAGGCAAATTCTGTCAAGTTAAACTGCAGAACCACCTGGAGACTGCAAAATCCAGGAGTAAGAGTGGGCCTAGTAGGGAAATAGTGGCCACCTCTCTCTTGGGTTTCCACTCCAACTGGTGAGCATGAGAACCAGGACTGGGACAATGGTGGCTAGACACAGAATGGCATCCACTGGCACATGTGTGGGCTGGATAGTGAGGCTGGTTGAATTAGGCTTCAATGACCTTTGACAATGTATGAGAGCTGAATGGAATGTGGGACAGAGTGGACCAGTCAGCTGTACATACTGGCAAGCACAGGAATCCAGGGCAGGGGGTGGGCCTACAGGTTGCTCCAACTAGGCTGCAGCTCCCACTGGTTTGCATTAGGGCTGAATGTGAGATAAGGAGGATCAGGCTATATGTAACACCTATTGGTTTGTGTAAAAGGCAGGGCAACCACCAGCATGCACATAAGCTGATTGGGAGGATGGATGTACCAGACCATGTATTGGCAAACATATGTAGGAACTAGGTCTGGGATCACCACAGATGAGGTTTCTTCAGGGATCCCTCCAATTGAACCACTGGACTCAGAAACCCAACCATGGTTAGAAGTGCAGATTCCATGGTCTGACAGTGGAGTGTATGGGTCAGTGGCCTCCTCAGTGGCTTAGACAGAGCAGTGGACAGCATATCCAGGTGTACATGGAGGATATGGCAGTGCATTGGAGTCTGCAGAAGATACCTGGTACTATAACAGAGAATGGAAGACAGAAAAAACTACCCAGGCAAGTGTTGACAGTGAATATCTGGGCAAATGGAGACCTTAAGGTAGACTATGTCAACTAGTAGATTCTGGAGATCAGCAGTAATTCAGAAATATCAAAACCTCCTGAGCACCGCCCTTGGAACATGCTTCACATCAGGGACTCTGGGATGGTTGGGTGACTGTCTTTCATCCCTCAGTGCAGAGGGTACAGAGGCGTTTGGGAGGCTGGTTGTGGCTTCTCTTCCTATCTCCCCCCTTCCTCTAGATACAGGAAGGAAAAAGAAAAGATAATGTGGAAATGGTCTTACTCACCTCCCTGTAGCCCTTGACCCTTATCACTCTAATTAACTATGTAACAATCATCAAAAATAAATAAATAAATCTTAAAAAAAATAGCCAACAGAAGTGAGCCTTGTGGCACAGCTGTTTAAGCTACTCTTTTTCTCTTTTCACATACACACACACACTCTCTCTCAGTCACCCTGCCTTTCAAATAAATAAATATTCTTAAAAAAAAATACTGACAGAAGCAGGGATCTTCTGATTCAGTAGCAGTATTTATAAAAACACGAGGTTTGCCAGAGTACGTGGATTATGATTCTAGTTTTATATGCAACCTGACATAGACCTGAACACACCTCTGCTCCTGAGAAAGTCCAACCCCAGGCACTCCTAAAATAAGTAGTAACTCTAAGTGTCCAAATGTCGCCCATCAGACTTGAACTCTTAAAAGTACCCATGTTGGATTAATGTGCACACAGCCTCCAGGACTTATGGGAAACACTCAGGAGATGCTTATTAAAAACTGAAATGAGGGGATAAGCAATGATTTCTAATGGCATTGAGATTATGGAACACCCACTGTTATAACCCCAAGGCACGACACATCTTGGGCTTCTAACCCCTGATCCACCATCTGCTGTCCCTGGGCTTTGTTTTTGGCCCTAGAGTGTCCCCCAAGGATTACATGCCCTGTGCTCCCTTGTCCTGTGGTTTTCCACTGGGAGTGGCCAAAGAGCAACCCTGCTCCTGGTCACACAGGAAGGAGAGAGTTTAGTTTTTATTTCCCATCACCCTACGTGGTCCCAGCATAGGGTGTGACGCTGTGGCCACAGCTCCTGCACAACAGCCTCTTTTTCCCAGTTCCAGCTACTCAGGTCCCTGGTGACATGGTTTCCTTCCTTCATCTCTTCAGGCCCACAATGGTAATAGCTGTTAGCTGTTATAAATCCCTGGGTGGTTCTCCAGCCTCAGCTGGATCCCTTAACCCTGCCCATGTCTCTGAAAATAGGGCCTTTATTAAACTCTTCAGTGAAATCCATTAAGTGTGTCATCTATTTCCAGTTACCACCATGACTAATGTTATATTTATATTCTAGCAAGAAGGGCCTGACTCTGTACTTGTCCCTGAGTTAGTTTTACTACTTAATCTTATCAAGCAGGTCAAATCCCCATGGTCTGAAAAAAATATACAACTTTTAAATTTTTTTAAGACTCCTTTACTTTCATTTGAGAGAATTACTCAAAGAGAGGGAGGGAAGGAGAGAGGGAGAGAAAGATAGATCTTCCATCTGTTGATTTATTCCCCAAATGGCCACAATGGCCAGAGTTGGGCTGATGGCCAGAACAACACCAGTGGTGGGAGCAGGAGCAGGAGCAGTTCAAAGCAGGGAGCCAGGAGCTTCTTCTGGATCTCCCACATAGCTGCAGGTGCCCAAGGGTTTGAGGCCATCCTCCACTGCTTTTTCCAGGTCATAAGCAGGGAGCTGAAAATGAAGTGGAGCAGCTTTTTGGACTTGAACCAGAGCCCATATGGGATGCCAGCACTGCAGGCAAAGGCTTAACGTGCATGCCATCACACCAGCCTCACAACACAAACCTTTTTACAGATTCTAGCCTTGGAGAGACAGAGGTGACTCCTATCAACCATCAGTTTCTACTCCCCCGGATTCTCTCGCTAAGGCCAGGTCTCCATCCCTCCTTCCCAACCTTCTTTAGCAGAAAATCCTCCCACCATGTAGAGAGCTTCTCTTTTTCTTAATCTCCTTTTTTCCTCACACCCAGGACTGTTTGCTTCCTGTGCACACTGTCAGCCTGTTACCTGTTATGGTCCTCCATCTGGCCCTGGGTTTTCCAATTCTGGAGGCTAAAAGTAGAAAGAAGTGGGGAGAAAAAGACTTTGTTGGTGATCTTCTCCCAGGTAGTGGTACCTATAAAATAATTGGATTATTCATAGATGAACTTAATCCTCCTGTAGACATTTTCTAAACCTGCTGGAAAGTTTGCTGAAAGTGAACATATCCTCCACTGTGTTGGTTTGATATGTACCTGACTCTAGAAAGGGTAAGGAAAAAGGTGGAGAGAAGGGCTCGGCGCCCTGGCCTAGCAGCTAAAGTCCTCACCTTTCTCTCTGCCATTTTGCCTTCAGTTAAGTAAATATTTTAAAAGACAGAAGGGCTGGCACAATGGTGTAGTGGGCTAAGCTTTTGCCTGTAGCACCAACATTCCATTTCAGCATTGATTTGTACCTTAGCTATTCCACTTCCCATCTAGCTCCCTGTTTAAGTCTTGGAAAACAGCAGAGGACCGCTCAAGTTCTATGTCGGAGACCCAGAAGAACCTCCGAGCTCCTGGCTTCAGACTGGCCCAACTCTGGCTATTGTAGCCATTTGAGGAAAGAGTCACTAGATGGAAGATGTCTCTCCTCTCTCTGTAACTCTGTCCTTCCAATAAAAATAAACTTTCTAAAAAAAGTTTAAATGGTGGCTATAAAATAATGTGTATGTTAATTAGCTCAGTAAAACCAGTCCACACTGTTTACATATTTCAAAATTATTATGTTGGGCCCAACATAATAGCCTAGTGTCTAAATCCTCACCTTGCATCCACCAGTATCCAACATGGGCACTGGTTCATGTCCCAGCTGTCCAACTTCTCATCCAGCTCCCTGCTTGTACCTGGGAAGCAGTAGAGGATGGTCCAAAGGCTGTACCCTTGTACCTATGTGGGAGACCTGGAAGAAGCTCCTGGCTTTGGATCAGCTCGGCTCAGGCCATTGTGGCCTCCTGGGGAGTGAACCAGCAAACAAAAGATCTTTCTCTCTGTAAGTTTACCTTTCCAATGAAAATAAATAAATCTTTTTTTTTTAAAAAAAGTAAAATCTAAAATAAAATAAAATTTAAAAAACTAAACCTTAGGACATTTCCATTTTTGGGGAGCTGAAGAAAAAGCACAGCCATGAAGTGTCAGTGCAGAAACAAAGGCAATACGGGCAAAAGAAGAAGATGCAGAAATGAGACAGCTTAGAAAAATACAAGCCATGAATTTCTAAAAAGGGTAAGTTCCACATTTGAATATAAGCACATTCATCTTCACCTTTTAAAAATAAAACGTCAGGGCCCGGCGCGATGGCGCAATGGTTAAGGTCCTTGCCTTGCACGCCCGGGATCCCGGCGGCCCCGCTTCCCATCCAGCTCCCTGCCTGTGGCCCGGGAAAGCAGTCGAGGACGGCCCAAAGCTTTGGGACCCTGCACCAGCATGGGAGACCTGGAAGAGGCTCCTGGCTTCAGATCGGCAATAGCATTGGCTGTTGCGCTCACTTGGGGAGTGAATCATCGGACGGAAGATCTTCCTCTCTGTCTCTCCTCTCTGTATATCCGCCTTTCCAATAAAAATAAAAAATAAATCTTTAAAAAAATAAATAAAACGTCGTACTTTTGAGACTAAAGTTAGAGAATAAAGCAATAGGGTAAGCCATTGGAACAACTTGTGTTAACCTGGAACCACCTGTCGAAAAACTTCCCTAGAAATATTGATCTACATTGTTAGACATGAATATGATCTGGAATATATCTCAGTTAAGATATCTTTGGATGCAATGAATGGGAAACCAAATTCAAATTAGCTTAAACAACATAACTGGATGCTTTTGGCTCATTTTCCTTAAAAGACCACAAGTATGGTAGAGTTTATAGTTGGTCCAACCTGAGGATACATACCCACAATTCTCCTGTTTCTACATTCCTCCACCAATTCATAAGATAGCTCTATGATCAACCTGGTTTCTCTAAAGCTATAGGCTTGACATTTTCATTTGAAGCTATCTCTTTTCCCAAAAGCTGTCATGATGCTTTACAAGAACCAACCACAGGTAGACTAATCCTCTACCTGTAGTGCTGGCATCCCAGCTGCACCACTTCCCATTCAGTTCTCTGCTTATGACCTGGAAAAGTAGCAGAGGACAACCCAAGTCCTGGGGACCCTGCACCCTCATGGGAGACCCAGAAGAAGCTCCTGACTCCTTGCTTTGGATCATCTCAGTTCTGGATATTGTGGCCATTTGGGAGCGAACCAGTGGATTAAAGATCTTTCTCTCTCTCTCTCTGTCATTCTCTCTCTATAACTCTGACTTTAACATAAAAGTGAATAAATACTTTAAAAAAGAGAGTAAAGGAACCAACTACTAGGTTCAGGGAAAGCTATAAGCTGATTGACATAAGTACACAATGCTGAACTAATCACTATTCCACACGTTGTAATTTGGAGTATCCCTAATATGTGGCCCACCTCAAGTTGTGGCGTGTGTGGGCAGGCTCACTCAACTGCCACACTGATTCATAATGGAAGAAGGCTTAAACAAACACTAGGGAGACAAGTAGAATCTGCAGACTTAGACTGAGTGTATGATTTTAATAATTAGAACATTGGTTTAACAAAATAATCAAAGCCAGTATCATATACCTGCTGACAAAATAACAGAAAGGGATCCAGTCCAAGGCTGACGAATCCTCTGGATCCAGCTGCTCCCGTCTAGAATATACAGAGGACCGAGCAGCCTGTTGAACACTAACTCCTGAGTTCACTGTCAGCAACATCCAAACTGTAAGAAACTCCATGTTTCAAACAGCAACTGAGTTCTACAACAGATAAATGGCATGGGGTCGGGGGAGGAAGTATGAAAACTTGTAGACTACAAGAGACTTAAAATATATGGAATGAGGTTGCTGATTCTTTTTTTTTTTTTTCAAATGAACAACCAAACTGTAATGTCTAGGAATATGCAGTTGAGTGACTAAACCACAAAAAGGTAAGCAAGTGCTTGCTGTGGAAGTCAGATTAGACCCTGTTTGTGAAGAGAGGGAGCTATGAATGACACGAGGCCCAATGAATGACATGTAGGGTATTGGAAACACATAGATAGTTGCTATAAGAGTGTTCACCTTGTATTAGGGCTAGTTCTACATTTATTTTCGTTAGTCTTATACCTCCATTTTATAATAAAAATATTTAAGGTTATGTGGTGTAGCGAACTAAACCACCTCTTGCATCACTAGCATCCCCTACCAGAGCAGTGGTTAAGTCCCTGCTCCTATGCTTTGATCCACCTCCCAGCTGATGCACCTACTAGCCCAAGTACTTGGGCCCCTGCCACCTGTCTTGGAGACAAGGCTAGTGTTCCAAATTCCTGGCTTTGGCCAACTCAGACCTGACCATTACAGGTGAGTGAACTGATGGATGAAAAGTCTCTCTATGTCTCTTTCCCTTTTTTTCCTGCTGTTCTGGCTTTCAAACATTCATTTATAAGGTTTTAAAACTTAAAATATTTTATACAAATCAATTTAAAGGATGATATGAAAAAACCCAGAAGAGAATCATTATCATAAAGTTATTATATATTGGATAGTACAGATCTGTTTATGTCTTTTAAGAATTAACCACATAAAATAACAAAAACTGATAGAGAATTATAAAAAAAAGTCTGTGTATAGAGTTTTGTGTGTGTACATGTGTGTAAATCTGTACAATGCCAAGTGTTAGTATACCTCAATATTTTCTAACAACAACTCCTTGGAATATTAATTCAATATAAGGGAATAATTAAGCTTAAATAGTCAAGTAAGTTAAGGAAATAGAACTAAAAAAAGTTTCCTTAGTATCTGGTAATATTGGAGTCTTTGGTAAGCTTTATTACACATTTATTTAGAAAGAGACAGAGAAAACTCCCATTTTCTGATTGAATCTAAACATCGGTAATGGCTGAGCCAAAGGTAAGAGTTGGGAACCCAATCCAGAGCTCTCCTGTGGGCAGCAGGAACCCAGTGACTGCTTCCTGTACTCTGTTTTGACAGGAAGCTGAAGGCAGGAGCTGAGAGAAGACATCAAGCTTGGGCATTATGGTATGAGATGTGGACTTCAGGGTGACACACACACTGAGAAAGGTCTTCGATCTGCTGCTGCTCTGCCCCTAAAATGGCTGCGATGATCAGGGCTGGGCCAGGCTGAAGCTAGGAGCCTAGAACTTCATTTGGGTCTCTCATACAAATGCAGGTGCCCTAGCAATTGAACCATCTTCTACTGCTTTCCCAGGCACATCAGCTACCTGGCATTCATGTGTGATGGCAATGTTTCAGGCAGCTGCTTAACCCACTGGCTACAAATGCTGCTCCAGCATGCAGGCATGTTAACTGGTATCAACCAATGTGCAAAATATCTCCCCCTATTGTGGTTTTTTTAAAGCAATAAAAAGGCCGTATAATTGCATTATTTCCCAAACTTGATCATTTTTAATGCTTCATTTATTTATTAATTTATTTGAAAGAGACTAGAAGAGAGAGAGACACAGAGAGAGATCTTGCACTTGCTGGTTTATTTGCCAAATGCCTACTACAATAGCGAGGGCTGGGCCTGATTAAAGCCAGGAACCTAGAACTTGTGCTGGGTCTCCTGCAGATGGCAGGGACCCAACCACCTGAGCCATCACCTGTTGTATCTTGGGGAGCACGTTAGCATTAAGCTGAGATTGTAAGATCCACAGCTTGAACCAGGCACTCTGATATGAAACACAGGGGACTCAAGCAGTGAAGCAATCATTGCACCAAATGCCCAGCCCTGACCACAAGCTTTTAGGGACACAAACATAACTACTACATCCAAAGGAGATACGTGGGTCCTAACGGCAGGAAAGGAGGGGCTCTATTCTATTTAGCATTTATAATGTGTTCTATTCAATGAGATCAGTAACTCTGTTGTTCTATTTATCATGTATTCCCAGTGTCTAAAACAGTGCCCAACAACAAATGCACCCAGGGTTTAAAAACTTTTGCAGGAAATCTAAATCAAATTCACTTGTAGGAAATCAGAGTTGTGGCCTAATTAACAGACAACAAAGTCTGCAAAATAATTCTTTACACTGTCATCTCCAGGCCATATTGTGGCTTAACATATATCTTTCACACAAAAACATTTCCAGCCATAAAACTACAGGATGGTTAGTTAGAGAAATCTCCCAAACATTCAAGTGCTAAATTCCATTGCTTTAATGAATAATGTATAAATTAATCACTTCTGGAAAACTGACTAAACTTTGATTTCACTGTGTTAAAAAAAAAAGTATCTTTGTTCCTTACAGATATGGGGAGCCAGTAAACTTCAGAGTTAATTAAGATCACAGGCTTTGGAGTTTTGCAGTGACACCTTATTCCACTTACTTCCTTCTATTCTTTTGGAGGAAATTTTAATACCACACATACCATGACATCATGCTAGGAAAGGAGCCAGAGGCTGTGCTTGATTCACATGAACCAAAGACTACAGCAGAAACTGTACTTCCTGGGGACACAATTTTCTATTTATGTTACTTCAGCGTTTTGACAGAGAAAAAACGATCCCATGAGTACAAATATGGATTAAAATTAGACTACTATATCCCATTTCCAGGTTACCTCCATTAAGTCCTATTACTCCCAAAATTATTTAACCTACATTGCATTTATATTATTCATCTACAGCACTGACAAAATCTTAATCCCCTGGGAAGCAGATAAAAATGAGGCAGCATATTAACTTCTGTGGGTTAGAAACTGCCTGCAAGATCTGGCTAGGATCCCTCCTAACTCCAAAATATGTGTAATTTCCAGTCACTGCGAATTGTACACACCCAAAGCATTCCTATAAACTGTTCCTTCTGTTGTCCCATGCTGAAGGCTTTGGGGGAGGTGACAAACTCCTCAATCTCTGAATTAACATATACAGTACAGGGCAAAAATATGACACCAAGGATTGAGAAGAGATGACACACTATCATTACTATTAGGAAAGACTAGAACAATTGACTTTTACCTGTGGGACACAAAACAGCATCACTACTCTCTCTCTCTTTAAAAAATTTATTTATTGGGCCCGGCGGCATGGCCTAGCGGCTAAAGTCCTTAGCCTTGAACGCGCCAGGATCCCATATGGGCACCGGTTCTAATCCCGGCAGCTCCACTTCCCATCCAGCTCCCTGCTTGTGACCTGGGAAAACAGTCCAGGACAGCCCAAAGCCTTGGGACCCTGCACCCGTGTGGGATACCCGGAAGAAGTTCCTGGATCCTGGCTTCAGATCAGCATAGCATCGACCGTTGCGCTCACTTGGGGAGTGAATCATTGGACAGAACATCTTCCTCTCTGTCTCTCCTCCTCTCTGTATATCTGACTTTCCAATAAATAAATAAATCTTTAAAAAAAAATTTTTGTCCATCCAGGTCTAAACAGTTCTGGGCTAATCCATCCCTCTTCACATGGACTCAAATATGAATAAAATCCACGGGATGGAAGAGCAGGGAAAAGTGCAGACTCCCTGAAGAAGAAAAGTTCAGTCCAAGAGAAAGAAACATGTGGTGAAGATACGTAGGTCCATTTTCTCCTCCAAGTTTTTTGAGACAGCAAGTGAGGGTTAAACTAGCAATGAGTCTCTGAGGTGAGGTGCAAAGTGGCTGCCATTGATTTGACATGGAGCAGAATCCAGAGTTCTTTAATCCTGGACCGGATTCGTAAGATAAATATCCCAGGTTCATGAAATAAATATTCAGATGAACCCTTCAGATCACTGGTTTCTAGAACAGATTTCAACCAGAGTCAAAGAACAAGTTAGTTAATTAGTTAGCCAGTTAGTTTCAAAAGAATTGGCTTATGTAATTGCGTGGCTGGCCGACCAAGCCTGCAGTCCAGAGAGCAGGCAGCCAGTATGGGAGGTTCTCCGTGGGAACAGGGCAGGGCTTGCTCACAGGCAGTCAGGAAGGAAGACCTAAGCGGAGGAGCGAGGAATTGCAAACCCAGCTGCTGTTCAGTTACTGAGCATTGGGAAGACATCAGTCCCCACTGCCCTGTTAAAAATAACCGCTTTATTCACCTATACCCCACATCCCATATAGTTCACCTATTTGAGGTCTTCAACTCAATTGATTATAGCATATTATGAAAGTTGTAACTGTCATGAAAATCCATTTGTGAATGTTTTCATCATCCCAGAAAGCTATCCTATACCCATTAGCATACCCTACCCATTTCCTATTAATACCCTCCAAATCTCCGTACCAAACCCAAAGCAATTACTTCCTGTGTCTGTAGAGTTCCCTGCTCTGAACAATTCCTAAGATTATGTGGCCTTTTGTGTCTGGCTTCTTTCAATTAGCATAATATTTCCAACTTTTATCCATGTCATAGCATATTTCAAGACTTAATACTTTGATTGAATAATATTCCATTGTGCAAACAAATCGATTTTTAAAAAATATATCTTTCATCATTTGATAGAATGTTTTTGGTTGTTTTCCCTTCTGGGCTATTATAAATACAGGTGCTATAAAATTTCACATAAAAGTTTTGTGTATCCACAAAATATATGTATAAGATATATAACATGTTAATTCTATATCTAGTATTTCAAGGAATGCCAAACTTTTCCAAAGCAGCCACATTATTTTACATTTCTTCCAGCAGTGAATACTGCAATATCTCCATATCTTAGTCAACTTTATTATATATTTTTT